CACGTACTGGGAGACATCCTCGCATGACACTCTCGCCTACGCCTTTTACAGCGTGCCGGATCAGTACAGGAATGTCCCAGCAGTGAAGTCCGCCTCGCGCATTTTCGACCAGATTCCCGACGGCCAGCTCGTGCGACCGGACAAACCGGAGCCTGCGGTTCTCCGCCTCAGCGCGGTGAAAGGCACTGATGACACCCGGAGGAACCTCGAGAGGCTGAAGGAGGAGTCCATCAAGAAAAACGTGGTCATCCTCGGCGCCAGGAGAGGCGAAGATATCGCCCCCAGGATCGGAAACACGATCACTACTCTGTGCGCCAAAATCGGGGACATTGCCCGATTCCTGGAGATGGGAGTGAGATCCAGAGCAGGGCCTATCCTCCCGACCAGGAGTGATCCTGACCTGATGATCCAGGCCATTGTTCCCGCACCCGAGGAGCTTCTGGACTACTTCGCCGACGAGATCCGTCAGAAGGTGAAGGGTAGGACGGGCGCCTCTTCGCACTACTACAGGAGAGCATGCGCGGAAATACGCGACGCGCTCCGTGGAACAGCTGTGCAGCCTGGAAATGCAGGTGCAGTCAAGGACCCAGAGTTGGAGGCCTCGTCTGCCAGCGGGCAAGGGAACGTTACTTCGGTGATACAACTGAAGAAGTTCCTGAGCCACTACTTCGGGACCAGCGTCGAGTCTGAGGATGCTTTTTCTTCGTACCTCCTGTCTTCCTTTCTCGAAGATGGGGTGGGAATGTTCGAGATCATCATCACCGTCATTCGTGACAAGGAGCGTCGGTTGCTGCCTGGTTCCGCCCGCATAGCGGCGGTAAGGTCGCTTGAGATCGGATCCGACACTGATTACCGGGCATTTCGTGAACGATACCAATACATGCTCTACGAGAGCCCTGTTTGTCTTCCTATCACCTCCAAGGTGGTTCCCAAGACACTCTACAAGGTGGTGCCTCTCCGAATGTATCGGCTCTACGTAGAACGTGGGGCGATCATTCGGGGTGGGCGAGCTCTGATCGAGCTCCTTCCCTCTCGGCCGGATGAATATCAATCCCTCCGCGATCACGGAGAATGCCCCAACGACACTGTCGACCGCATCACCGACAGCAATGTGACGGAGCTGCACACCTCGGGTCGACGCCAAAGGAGGGATCCCCGATATGTGGTCATGGCTATCGATGCACGTTTCTTCTCCATGGAAAATGGGGGCATGCATATTACTCGTCAGGGTACCTTTGCATCGCGCGAGAACATCGCGATCGGGTACTGGAGATGCGTCTACTTCAAGGAGGACTGCTCCATCATTTACCTGAGGCCTTGGTGCTATCCGCCCAACTTCCTCAACTCCGTGAGTGATAACCCGAGGAAGTGTCGGGACGAGATGGAGAAGTATCATCAGATCACCAAGACGGAACATGTCCGCGAGGTGGTGTCCGTTCCATGCCATAGGTGCATGACGGCCCACCCGGTCGGCGCTCACCTGTGCACCGCCTGCTACCTTCCCATCTTCTATGAGGGCGTCCTGCCCACCGGAGACACGAACGGCGGCCCTCGCACGATAGCGAGCACCGACGGGGTGATTCCTCCCTGGCTGGCAAAATACGAGGGCTTCGTCCCCGCTCTGTGGAACAACGCAGACGCCAACGCCATCGGAATGGCCCTCTACTCGCAGAGTCCCGCCGTCGATGCCCGGTCCTTGTTGATGTCTGGGATGCGGCCTCCTAAGTACCTTGACAAAGAGGACGTGGATGGCATTTTCCGAAAACTTCACGACTCGCTCCGAGACGAAGTCCTTGACGGCAAATACCATGACACGGTCGACCACAACGTGGAAGAGTGGGTAGCAAAGGCGATCTTGGTAAGGGGTCTTGCCTTCAACGGGAGCTCCGTCCCCGACTTCTTCGAAGAATATGAGGGATATGCGGCTGAGTGGGGCAGACGCCTAACCACCGCAAACTTCAACGCCAACCGGTGCGGCTTTTACACGTCCTACTACATTCTTGAGGCCCATATCATTGGGCTGAGATCAGGACACCTTTCTCCGATACTCCCCAACGATGTGTCCGGGGAGGGGTTCAAGTTCCAGGTGGGGCTGCTCGCACAGCACTGCGGAATATTGCAGGCCATGCGGAGAAAGGCCGGGTTCTCAGCAGTATGGACGATCTGATCTACCGGACGTCCACCGTTGCCTACGACACCTGCTTGGCCGACCGTCCTCAAACCCAGGATGACATCAAACAGGAGCTGTCCGATCCTGTACCAAGGAAATACCGCTTCCGACCCCGCGATCGCCATCGACCCGGAATTCGCCTTACACCAGGCCCCGGCGTGAAGGACGAAGACGAGCCCGACTTTGCTGGATCAGCGGAGGATGAGCTGGGATCGGATGGTTCTTCGCACGAAGATGACGAGAAGCCTGACGACCTTGACGAGCCCATGGGCGACGACGAGGAGGAGATCCCTCCCCCTCCGCCACCGCCCCCGGCTCCTCCTGCGCCGCCTGTCCCGGTAGAACCGGAGACTCCCGTGGTGTCGCATGCAGGCGTCAGTTCTGGCGATGCTGTGCCAACTCCTCCTCCTCCTCCTCCCGCTCCCATTGCGGCAGGCGTTACAACGACTGGGGATCCGTTTGAGGAAGAGGACATGGCCATCAATACTCGTGTCCCTGACACCGAGTCCGAGCTGGAGGGTGAGTCCGACCAACCCAAGGCCAGGAGGACATCTCGTGGTCGGGTCCCCGCGCCCAAAAAAGGGCAGGGGGGCATTCAGGTCCCGCCTAGCGGGCAACCCAGCTCTAAGAGCATGGCCCAGCCTGCCCGTCCATCCCCGGTCCCCGCGAGAAGCGGTGTGGAAGGTGGGGAGAGAAGGGGCAGGACCAAGGGTTTCTACACCCAGAAGGATCCTTTTACCGGCGAGGACGCAACTCCCCGAGTTCGTCTTCGATCGGGCGGTCCCGGAACTCCTGCGTCCCCACCACGGGATGCCACCGGTTCCTTGGGCGGCCATGGCGGCTATGACCCGCGCGATGACGACAACGACGAGTGGGAGCTTCCCCCGGGTGTGCCTCGGACCACTCGTGCGGCAAATGAGTCGCGGCCCCGCCGAGATGACGATCGGTCGAGGACCGCGCTTGGGGCCCGCGAGGATCGTCGCGGTCCTAAGGGTGAGGGGAAGGGTCGAGGAAAACATCGACCTGGCAAAGGTGGACGCGAGGATCCTGGCCCGCCCCGACAAAGGGATGATCGTGGCAGGGATACCCGCGGAGGCCGACGCGATGATCGCCGACCTCCTCCACGTCATGAGGAGACCTCCGAGAGGCGCGGTCCGGGGCGAGATGAGCGCCGCGGACGTGATGACCCGGGTGATGACCGTCGCGATCGCCACCGGGACCGGCGCAGGGATGACCGACGTCACCAATCAGATCCCCCTCCGCCTCGCCGACCTCCGGCTGGTGACCACAATAGGGGTGGTGGTGAGGATCGCCGTCGGGATGGAGGAGGTGATCGAGGTGACCGTGGTGGACGCCGGAGAGACGACGTGCCCAGGGACCGGGAAGAACCTGGTTCAGGGTGGTAGGCGGGTACCGCAATCAGCATCCGCCTTAGAAGGGCGAGGATAGTACGTGTGTCGCCGAAAAACGCGACCGCGCCGGTCCTCCTCTCGCCCATGCGGCGCTGCTGGGGGTGATGGTCTCCATTGCCCTGTACCGCTGATCCGGCGTTGCTCGTGTCCCTCCCGCACCGCTGCCGTGCGCGCCGGAGACGGTTCCCCTGGCGATCCTGTGTGAGGCTGTGACCGCACTAGAAGTGCCGGGCCGGCCGTAGCCGGATATTTTCACACCAATTTCGGAACTTCCGTTTCTAATTTCCTCCCAACTCGACTACTCTTCCAACCACTCCACGGCGTGCAGTGAGGCGCGGTGATCCAGATAGGGTCCCCCTCCGCATGGTGTCGTCCCATGACAACGCATGAACGGCACGAGAGGAATCTTCGTCTGGTTCCTCCAATATGTCTTTGTTCACTCATGTGGTCCACTCGTCAAATAATCCTGTCGCCCCGATAATTCGGGGTGGTGGCGGGATTTTAACTGGGGCCCAGGTGATGCCGTTTGGCTCACCTCTGAGTTGACACCGGCATTTTTGGTTGGTCCCTTTCGTCGTGAACTCAACTGTCTCGCATCCTTTCTCTCGTCCAGATATCGGATGAGGGGGGTGTGTTTTGTTCACGTGTTGTTTCATCATGTGGCAAAACGGCCGAATGGCCGTTTGGCTCAAGTTTTTGGGAACTCCCGTCAAGTTCCCCTCGGACTCGCGTGCGAACGCCATATCCTGGCATCGCTCTCCGTCACCGCAAAAGGCTTTGTGGTGCCGCGGCGCTTTGGGGGTAGGAGGTGTTCGGTGGGCCGTCGAGGTGTCCTTGGGCCTGTCCCTCAAACTACTGTTTTGCAATCCCATTACTAACCTCCCCAAACCTGATCTTCTTCAACTGTCACTCCCACAACCTGGTCATCAGCACCTTCTCCATTGTGCGTTGAGACTGGGTTCTTTTGGTACTTCGTGGATTACGTGTACCTCTTTGATTCCCTGGGCTACTTCGTGTTCGCCCAAAACCGCAGAAAGGACTAAAACCCTAAAACCCGTGTCCTGGTTTCATTTTGACCCATACCCGTTTGGCTTTCCAAGGCTTCCGGTTAGACAAATGGGCCCCAGTGGGGGTCCACTGAAACCCACCAAAGAATCCCCGCAAAGCCACAGGGGAACTGAGGAGTTTCTATCAGCTCATCCATTTCGGTACATGCCAAAATAGGGGGCACATGAAAAAACTTCACCGTGTCGGTGTTTCTTTGGTTTCCCTTGAAACCTGGACCCTCAAACTACCCAACGTTCATGGGTTATTGCCCCAAACAAAAAAAAGCCTTTTTTCAGGGTAGTTTGAGGGTCCACATAGCCTGCCAAGGGTACCCACTCCAAAGACGAATCAGGCAACCCAATTGACCCCAGGCCAGATGACGCGACCAAGCACCGCACGGACTCTATTGCAATCCACGAGACTGCGAACCAAGAGGCGGGCGTGGCTTCGAGTTTTCACAGGCCAGCGGCCAGCTTTTCTTGCTGCGATGGGGAATGACAACGCCCCCGAAGAAAGAAAACCAGACGGATGGTTTTCTCTCTGGTCATTCCAACTCCCCTGAGAGCCAGCAAGCCTTTGACCAAATCCTTTCAGAGGTCCTGACCCCTGTGGACGGTTGCGAAGTCCATTTCGTACCACCGTTCAGAAACCCTGATTTGCTGATGATGCCCCCGTAAATATCAACAAATAACGGTTTTGCATGGTGTCAAAGTGGTGCGAAATGGATTTCGTCCATCCACGGTATTGAGGTTCCAATGATGCTTAGGGTGTTTGTTCAAGCTGGTGGAATCAAGTTCTTGTCCCAGCTCCCTTGACGAAAGTACCTGGGGCCTCTTTTGGGGGGTCCCGTCTGACACTTCTCCCTATGCCTAGAGATTCGTTGCGGCAGAAATTTCTGCCGCAAATCAAAAAAGGCGCCTTTTTGGATTTGCGGCATTTCTTCCTGATTTGCGGCGTTTTTTTAGAATTGCGGCAGAACTTGTTTTTAGTTTTTTCTACCCCCCGATTTGCGGCGGAAATCGGCGGGAATGCGGCGGAAATCGGCGGGAATGCGGCGGAAATTCCCGGAAAGCAAACGGTGTTGCGGCGTTTTTGTTTTGGTTGCGGCGTTTTTTTGGGTTTGCGGCTGATTTTCTGGAATGCGGCGGGAATTTCCGCCGCAATGCGTTGCGGCAGAAATTTCCGCCGCAGGAAGTTCTAGGTGTGCCACTCTTCCATTTGCAGACCTTGGCTCCGAGTCCTAAAGAATATCCCGGTGCATAGAAGCATTGACTTGCAAAACAAGTACCTTCTTCATTTGTGAAATGTGTGCGTGACTGGACCAATATATCTGGGATGAAGTGGGCCAAAAAGCTGCGGCCCAGATGCTCCCAGGAAGGTCTTGGGGGCCCGTTATGTTCTAAGAAAGGACTTGGAGGCCAAGTGATTGCATAGGCACAACTTTGGATCCTTTGGGATAGGTTTCCTGCTGCGAAGCAACCTGTTAGCTCCTTTAGATGACAAGCACGGCAGACAGATGTCGAGTTGGTTGTTCCTTTTCCTTTCTGGCCACGGAGAAACAAGCGTTTAGTGCCTCCCCTTCAAGTTTGGCGGCTGCCATCACGCGCGGTTTCCTGCTGCATGCATGGAAGCCGTGGTGTCTTTTTGGTTCCATTTTCCCTTTAAACCAACCCCCAAAAGGGTAATTAGCCTCAACTCCTTTTGGTGCGAGGAAATATGTGCCAGGTAGCACGTCCACGTGCATGTCGAGGGCCACGAGAGCCTCGGAAAAACCCATTGCCAGAGTGCAAGGGCGCGCGAAATGAGCCCTGTTTTAGGCGGAGACTTAAGCTCTCCGCGTTTAGTCGCGTCACAAGGGTTGGCATTTCTGGATATATCAGTGAGGATCACGTATGTTGGTGTTTGACACGCAAGTTGTAGCTCTCACAGTTCTGGGCACATTCTAAACAAAGCTCTATTCATGCCTCCTTTGAGGAAATCAAATTGCGTTTATTTTATGGTGTGAGCAAACCCATCACCAATAGACTTCTGTGCGAGATCCGACTCCATACACGGTAGATGCCTAAGGAGTGTCGACCGCTGTTTCTGTCGAAATCCCGGCGACACCGGCGCTGACGGCGAATTTCACCCGGAGCAAAGCCTCACATCGCCGAGAATGGTGTCGAATCCCACTGAGAGCAGCCCTCGTTGAGCAGATAGCAGGTCTAACACCAGGCCGGGTGGCAATCCTGAAAAGCTCAGAATCGCAGAACTCTATCTAGAACACGCGGAGAAATTGTTGACATGTATTCGACACCATTTCCCGTGGTTAAGCGAATGGATTTGGGCCTGCTCCTCATCCAGCACATGATTGTGTGCGGTGGAAGCTGGCCATGCGAGCAGATGGCTTGAGGATTAGAGGCACTCCCCTGTTATTTTGCCATTTCGGACAACGCATTGCTTAACTCCTGCAAAAGCAGAGCTTTGTAGAGCCACAAATCGCAAACTGAGAATTACAGGTCTTGTCTCGGTTAAGGCGCCTTTGCAGCGAAGCCACGTTTGAATGTGATCTCTAGATTCACTTTGAAGCGTATGGCTTATGTATAAAGATAGGGGGATCCCCCCGTTAAAAAAGGATACCCTCAACAAACAAGCGAAGATCCATTGGCCAAGACAGGGTCAGCAATTCCGGCCAATGTTGACGGGCCGCCCAAGGCGGCAGGGTCAGATATGCGAACAGAGCGGAAAAAATGGGAACTGACGCCTATCATTTTCAATAAGTTTGTTTTTTGTGTTTACCGTGTGTGCTGTGTTCTTCATGTTTTTCTCGATGTAGCGTTTTAGAAGGACATGTCACGCGTTGTGAATCTGCTTGCCAAGTTGAATCAGAGCTGCCATTCAAACATGTGTTGTTGGAATGCCACCGTTCCTGTGCTCAAATGTTTGCAGATTATCACTCTGATGGAGAATTGACCGACCTGTCTTTGATGGAGCTGCCTTTTGTTTTTTTGTAATGTGCATTATTTCAGGTTGTGCTTAACTTGTGGTTTGGATTACTAGATTAGGGATTTGACCCCCCTTCTGTGGGTCAAAACCAATGGTACCATTTTGGGTGGGTGCACCGCCCATTTTAGTCTATTTTAGTCGGGATTGGCATGTTCACTGGGGGTATTTTCCGGCTTTTGACCCATCACCAAATCACCGCTGACAAGGCGGTGGCTCAGCGCAAAGCCTCAAAGCTGCATCAGGAGCTTCCTGGCAAGCGCTTCCGACTGGCCCACATCGCGGACTACGGCCCGCAGACTCGGATTTGAGAGCTTTCCAGGCTTTCCCGAGGCCGATTGGGATTGAACCCATCTGGTGTCCCCTAGTTGCGGTGGTTGGATTGGGACCTGCGGGCTGAGGCTGGGCCATCTATATGGCGAGGCGGGTGGCTTGGCTTGGGGGGAAACTCATTGAGGTCCACGTGCTCAAAATGAAGCGAGACACTTGCCCAAAACCCTCCACATGTTCAGACAATCCCAAAACCATCCACGTTATGTTTGAGACTTGCCCAAATTAGTCACAATCAAAATCCGGAGAATTGGCGAAGAGAGAATCCCAAGCAATGGGTGAAGCAGCTCAGCGGCCTGAAACTACTCTGTACATCTAAGGGATTCTAAGGGTTTTTGTAATACACACTGGGAATACACACTAAGTATTGACCCCATTTGGGGGAGAAAACCGTGTTATCTTGAACCATTCTGGGTCATTTCCCAAGGGTGTAATCCTAGGGTGTAATGCAAAAACCCTTAGATGTACATGGTTCTGGGTAGACCTTGGCTGGGTCTCCGTTGATCATATCAGGCCGCGGCGCTACGCCATGGAGGTGGGCAGGGCGTGTTGTTCGTAGCCCATTCACGGGTGAATGAGAGGAGAAGAGACACACACACACACACATGCACACCCCCACACACACAAACACACAATCTCGCAAGCACACACATTCGCAGGTAGGCACCTCTAAATGCATCATTGCGCGTGTGTGTGTGTGTGTGAGTGCGCAATCAGTTGTGTTTGTTTGTTTGTTTGTTTGCTTGCTTGATTGCTTGCTTGTTTGTTTGTTTGGCTGGTTGTTTGTTTGTTTGTTTGTTGTTTGTCTGTTTGTTTGTTTGGTTGTTTGTTTGTTTGTTTGTTTGTGTGTTTTTTGTTTGTTTGGTTGGTTGTTTGTTTGTTTGTGTGTTTTTTGTTTGTTTGGTTGTTTGTTTGTTTGTTTGTTGTTTGTGTGTTTGTTTGTTTGCTTTCTTTCTTGCTTGCTTGCTTGCTTGCTTGCTTGCTTGCTTGCTTGCTTGCTTGCTTGCTTGCTTGCTTGCTTGCTTGCTTGCTTGCTTGCTTGCTTGCTTGCTTGCTTGCTTGCTTGCTTGCTTGCTTGCCTGTTTGTGTGTTTGTTTGTTTGTTTGTTTGTTTGATTGTTTTTGTTTGTGTACGTGCATGTGTATGTGTGAGTATGTGGATGTGTCTATGTGTTTATGTGTTATTATGTGTTTATGTGTTATTATGTGTTTATGTGTTTACGTGTTTATGTGTTTGTTTGGTTGCTTGTTGATGGTTGATTGTTTGTGTATGTCGGTCACGAGCATTCATAGTGTGTCAAGCTGGTTTTTTGTTAGCTTCATGTTGACCATCCTTGACCGCCGATTCACACCCGAGCCCCAGCTCCATAAACGGCCCCGTCACATCCCCTAAAACACGGGAGAACTCATTGGCCTGCAGCAAAATACCTGGACCCTCAGGGTGCTTGGTTGCTGCTCGCAATTATGGGGTGAATTCCCTTGTTTATGGGTAGTTTGAGTGTCCAGGTAAGGACCAATTCGGCGACAGCATCAAGCTTCTATATATTGATATGTTTGCTTCAGCACAAACCCTCAACACCACGCACGGCTTTTTTTGTATATATCATGGAAACAAAGCCACTCAATACATTTAGCTTGGTGTTGCAAAACTGAACCCCAACACATTCTGCGACCGTGTCCCTAAAAAGCTGACATGAATCAACCACAACGAACACAAAATCACACCACACCCACACTCCAGGACTCCAGGGCAGGCAAACACAAACAAACAGCAAACACACACACAATCACAAACAAACAAACAATCAAGCAAGCAAACAAACAAACACACACAGAAACACACAGACAATCACAAACAAAAATACACACAAGCACACTCACACAAACACACACAGAAACAAAACAAACACAACACACGATCACAGACACACACACACACGATCACAGACACACAGACACACAGACACACAGACACACAGACACACACACACACACACACACACACACACACACACACACACACACACACACACACACACACACACACACACACACACACACACACACACACACACACACATCATAGCAAAGTCTGGAACATCCACGGGGACCTGTGCGAACCCTAGCCATTGACCATGTTCCACCGTGGGTGGGTGTGTGCACAAATGGTCAGCCTCAACCCTGGTATTGGTCCTTTTGATTTTTCTTGATTTACTCCCAAAATAATCAACCAACTGTGGATTCGAGGGAACCCAAAAAGCAAACTCTAGCGACTTCACAAATTCAACTTCTGAGGTTTCTAAGCTTGAGTGTTTTGTTTTCCCGTTTCGTCTGCCCCCCAAAACCCGTCAATGGCCGAAGCCCCGCCCATGGCGAGAGCGAGCCGAGCGCGAGGAAGGCTTCCGTGGCTCCTGGACCCCGGCGGACATCGCCCATGGCAACGGCATGCCGCAGGCGAACTGGGCGTCTCCGGAACCCCATGGGGTCTCTGTCGGCTAAATGGCCCTGTCTCACGGGGGAACCATCTGGGGTCTGCAGAAATTTATGGGGTCTCCGTCGGCGAAATGGCTCCGTCTCATGGGGGAAACACCCTTTTTGGAGGGTATTTTAAAGGAAACCAAATGGCAAATCACCAGTTTTGGAGCCCCTATTTTGAGAAAGAAGCACCCATATATTGTGTACGTATTTTTTTTAGGATGACCGACCCTTCAAAAGATGGTAACGAGTTCCCTTTTTTCGGAGCCTCGAAAAAAGAACCCCCCCCCCGTATATGTGAAGAATCGGAAGACTGTCATGCAACCGTGGGCCAAGTTTTGGCGCGAAACGGTAAATCATCATGCAGAGAGTAAGCCTCTTGTGCCCCGTAAAACTTATTGTGTCAGGTTCTTTTTTGGCGCAAGCAGGCTTGGGGGCTTCGGGTTGCTACGGTCACAGATCCCTTAAGAAAAGCAAATAGACAAGCAGAACAGGCACCATGACCATGGCATACAGAAGGAGCTTGACCTTGAAGATATGGGGATGTCAGAAAAATGCAAGCACCCCTGTTGAGTGTTTTGTTTTAGAATGCAAGCAAAAGGGCACCAACATTATTTTCAAGACACCTATTTGTTGAAACATCCGGATGAAGTTCGACTACGCTTTCCAGCACTCTCTGGTGAGTTTGGCATGGACAAGAACTCAGACAGTTTAAGAAACCAATTAGAGGGTCTCGCTAATTAATTGTTCCATGTCCATTGCGGCAAGTTGGTATATTATGATCATGGCTCATATGTCAGACGAAGTATTTTATGGTTTATGTGAGGTGCTGCTAGCGAACGGATGATGTTTGAGCATGACTTGGGGGTGACCAGAGACAGAAGCAGCCGCACTTGTACATTCTGAACACTATATTTATTCCTTGAAGATTGACATAGGTGCTATTTTAGGGGACCCTCAACATGGTTGGACTGCCTTCTGGTTTTCCTTTAAAACCACAAGGAAAGGAGGTACTAGTACCCCTCAAAAGAAGACACACCCACATGGAGCTCAGAACACCTAGGAACCTGGTTTTGCGATTGGTCTGTTTTTTTTTCAAAGAGAGGCTACGTGCGCCTTTTTCAGAGGAGCAATATGGAGCAATTCCCTGGGAATAGCATCAGATTGACTGCGTAGCATGCTTTGGGCAATTTCCCTTTTTGGAGCCTCCAAAGTGGCAGAGACAAGGGAAACCACCAGTCAATTACAACTGTTGAAGGGGCAATCCAGTGACCCCTAATAAACGTCTGGACATTTGCATGCCGGATTTTTTCCTATGATATCGTTTGTCACCCCGAAGGCTCCAACAACCCTTCTCTGGTTGTGGCGAGGGGGGGGGGGCTAGGTCTTTCCCCTAGCTAATTTCGAGTACCGTCTTTTCGCATGACATGCTCAGGCTGCTGCAGGCGTATGCCCTGCCCCGCAAAAAGCAACAGGCCTGATGTGGGGTCAGGGCATCCCGTCGGTCTGTCACCGCAGACCTATTGCCTGTGTTCGTTTGTTTTTGTTCAAGGCTACTCGTGGAAACCCCTAAAACCCTTAGCCCTTTTTGGGGGTTGCTGTTCATGGATAACCTGGAGAACTTCGGGGAAGCCCTGTTGAGCCACGATCAATTTGTGGGTAGATGATACTGTGGATGAACGAAATCCATTTCGCGTCACTTTGAAACCATTGTTGAAATCATTGTTTATTGGTATATACCGTACTTACAGGGGAATCAGCATTCCATCATTGTTCAAAATGGTGTAGGATTTCGTCCATCCACAGTATGGGTAGGTGCAGCAAGAAGCTCGTATCGTTTTGTTACATGTGGCTAGACTTCTGTTTTGTACTGGGTTTTCAAGATTGACAAACAGAGGAACAAAAAGTGCCAGATAGGGCGAGGGTTGAGAGGTATGATTCCTTGTTCACGGTAATGTTGAGCCAGGATTAATAAACCCCTGTTTATTAACAGGGGTGTCCCTGATTTTAGTGGGGATTCATCACTTTGGAGGGGAACACCCCAAAATTTATAGTCCGGGGTGTATTAATCCGGGGTCAACAGTATGTGTTGAACTTGTTGCTTCTTCTCCAGAAGCTCTTACTTTTCATCGTGTCTCAGCTCGTTTTGCCTGCTTGGGTGTTGAAATGTCAACACTGGTGCTACAAGAACCGTTCGGGCTTGGGAGCAGACCGAAGTTGTGGCCGCTTATGCGCTATGTTTGTTTAATCCACTGCATGTGTGCGTTGTTTTTGCATCATTCATGGGCCGCACCTAGGATTCGGCGTTGGAAACACCGTTCGGAAAGCGTTCAAAACTCGTTCGCAAACCGTTCGCGAAGCGTTCACATGTCGTACATTTTATATAAAACACAATATATTAATATGTGTGTTGCGAAATCACCCCGATGTTCTAAAAGCCATTCTGGTGTTCAAATGATCGTTGTGGTGCTCCAAGCTTCAACAGGCATCGCCTCTCCAAGTGGTGCTGAAAGAACAATGTAGGGGGCCGAGACATTTGCACCATGAAACTCTGAAGCTGAGTGCGTATGTGTCGCCTTCCTCGCTAGCTTCATGAATGCGGTGACACATTTCACGTAGCGGACATTGCTTGGTGCCGGTTTCGCGCTTGCGCGGACTCGTCTCCTTGTTCCTTGTTGGGAGGAAGCCTGGGGAGTCAATCTCTCACTAACCAACCAACTTTGGGGCCCTTGCTTCTTTCCACGCATCAGTGCAGACGGATGGTCAGGAAATGACCATCAGTCATGGGAACCCAGAAAAACCCGAGATGTCAACTTATCCACTGCTGACTGTCTCTGTCCCTCTCTGGCTCAAGCGGACGCTGGTGTGGGCTAAGAGCAGTGATGATTCCCTGTTGAATAGGCAATTTGCGGACAGAAAAGAAAATTCGAGGTCTCCGAACTGGACATGGCACCAAGCTAGAAAAAGCTAGACGTGTTTTAAGTTTCAATTGGGCTCAGTGCCGTGTGCAGTCACAAACAACGTATCGGTTGAAGGCACTCGTGCCTTCATGCATCAAGGTCTTTTGAGCGTATCATCCTGTGGGTGTCATACAGTTGGCACCTCCCAACATAGGTGGCTTCCAAATTCGACCAGGCGCCCAAAGAATACCCTCAAACAGACACGTCGACACGCACGCAGCGCCATGGTGAGCTTCCGAAACTCGGCGCAAGCCAGGTGGGTGGGTGGATTTTTGAGGCTTGAAGGTTGGAAACCAAAGGAAAAGCGCTCGTGGGAGTCCGAATCCCTCTTTTTAGCTCATCCTGGGAGTCTGATTCTCTTTGATGCAATAGATGCATCAGGAACATCCATGACCTGTAACCTGCGACTCAGACAACTCGGAGCTGTTATTGCTACTTTGGACAACTGTGGCTGGTGCTTTCGAATTGGTAGGGTCAATAGGTCAATGAGCCTGGTTGATGCTGGTCCTTTGTCGCAACAGGAGGTATCAAGTACCTTCTACGTGAATCTCTTTAGGTGTGGTTTGTTGTTAACCAACGGAGGGCTTCCGTTGGTTTCCCATTTTATGAGACTGGCGCACTTGTCTCCGGAACTGTTTGTGTCGTTCAAAGTACGTTTTAATCTTTATATGATACGATGGTAGTGGTGTCCCTTGTCGTGTTGGTGATTGCGGATGAGGATTTACAGATCCCCCCACCACATTCTGCACAACCCAGACGGTGTCCCGACTAGTTTCTTCCACAAGTCGCCGATCTGGCAGGAAACCCTGTGCCCAAATGAATTGCTGTGGCGCGTGCAAGAAATGCGACATGTCTTATTGTAAGGAACCTCTTTCGATTTGTTGGAAACGGAAAGCAAAAGAGAAGCCAATCGTTCGGGTCCGCTAGTTTGGGGGGACGCCCACCCACTTGTCCATTGCCAGCAGCTGAACACATGTTGGCGTCCCAAATAAGCTTTGGGGTGGGTTGCAGCAGCTAAAATTGGGAGGTGTGCGGAGGGTTCCAGGGCGTTCCCGCCTTCTTTGTGTTGGTTCTCCTTTGAGTCAACCGGCCGAAGGAGTGTGTCTTTTTTCCCCGTTTTTCCCACTGGCTCTTGAGCCTTGGCCTTTTGCCCGCTAGACCTGGGTATGTGTCAAAATTAACTCACCAGGGGACCGCAGGTTTTAGTTCTTGTTTCCATGTACCAGGGTTCTATTTTGGGTAACTTTTTGTTGTCCATTTTTGGGACCTTACATTTTGGGTACCCGGACTCTCAAGCTACCCTTTAAAAAGGAAAATCACCCCCATAAAGTTGGGTTGCAATCACCCATGTTCTTCCATTTGCTTAACAATATGTTTAAAAAAAGAAGAAGCCCGTGTTGCTTTCAGCTTCCTTTCGGTTGACGAGGTGAATCATACTGCGCAGGACGAAATCCTGCAAAACTTAAAACGGGCATGGGAAACCATTGGCTGTTGGTATTTACCTTGGGGGTTGGTTGGCATGGTCATGGGCCCCTTTGTAGTCCGCGGAAAACTTTCTACGCGAGCTTGATCCTGGCATCCCCTTTCCTTTCTGCGGCTTGGTTCCATTGGCCGCCTCTGTTTGGTTATACATGGAATTATTATACCTTCTAAATGGCGTTTACTGGCTGGCCAAGGACATTTGGGGAGCCAAGCCAGGGATTTTTTAGCTGCATCAAACAGGGAGCTAAGGAGCCCCTACTACCCAAATCACTCTGGGTTTGTCCTATTTGGGTGTGTCTCCATTCGAACACTCGGGCGTTTTTCCGAACGACTCATGTTGGTCCTCTATTTTCTTTCAGGTGCTCAGTGGGGAATGAGAAATTGAATGAGCCGTTTCGGGATTTGCAGGTTTCATGGAAACCAGAAAACCAGGGCAACCCAAATTAGGTTCCCCTTCTAGGTCCCTGAGTAGTGCCCTTTTACCCTTTTTTGGTGGAACTTATCTACTAAAATAGACCACAGATAAAAGGGTAACCTCATTCTATCCTCTCTACTGAAAAACCTAGCCTTTAAGACACGGCTCTTCAACCACTTGAGGCGATCCCTACGCGGTCTTGGGCCTGGACTCCAAGAGTGACGAGCGCAAGGTCAAGGCAGCCTACCATCGGGAGGCGCGTGCTACGGGCTACCGGCTACGATGGTCGACGGGTCGACAGGTCGACAGGTTCGCAAGACGGTTGGGTGTCGCTTGGGTGTCGCTTGGTTACCTGGACCATATTGGGGTGATGTAGGGGTTGTTTGAGGGTCCAGGTAGTATATCAGAGGCTCCAAGGGCTTTTGGTGGGTAGAAAGGGTCTAAGTACCTCCTTAGAAGGTACTTTGGCCCTCTGGGTAGTTGGGGAGGACATGTAGGTACACACAATTTTCCCCAAGTTATGGAACACACGCAAGTTTACAATGTCCGTTTCCTGTCCACTCACAGCAGTTCTCCGTATTGACATTTTTTCCTCGGAGGCATTTCTTTGGCGTGCGGGGGTCCCTATTGTGGATGGACGAAATCCTGCACCACTTTGAAACCATGTTTGGAAGCCATTGTTTTTTGTTGGTATTTACAAGAAATCAACATGTGGGGGGTTTCTTAGGCGGTGCGAAACAGATTTCGTCCATGCACAGTATGTTTGCCCCTTTTGGTCATTAGAAGAAAAAACCGAGAAAATAAACACTGGTCCAATTTAAGTGGAGTCTCCTTTGGGGTGCTCTTTTTTTGTGGGGGGGGGGGAGAGTTTTTGTTTGTCATCAAAATAGGGGTACCCCTCCCCGCAAAAAGTTCGTGTTGATGTGGTGTTCCCTTTAAACAAAAAAAGTATCCCCTAAAAAAGACACACCCAAATGAGTTTTGACCCTGGCTCCTTTTGGTGGGTGATGTTGACGGAAACACAGTCAGTGATTCCATTTACCTATATAGGTAATCCAGAGGTTCCCACCCTTACAAAGCAAATGGACATTGGCAAAGGGTTACCTACTTTTTCAGGGATAGCAACCAAAACATATGCTTGGTGATTTCCATAAGGGTAGTTTGAGGGTCCAGGCCCATATTTTGTTGCGGGGGGTCCTCTATGTTGAGAGAAACCCAGGGGAATCATCAGAAATCAGGGTTTCTCAGGTGGTGCGAATGGATTTTGTCCATCCACAGTATGTTGAGACAAACCCAAGAGGGTCACAATCATAACCCGGGCAATTGGAGGGTGGTAAGGGACAATCCCGGCCTTAAAGGGGTGCGGCCGCCTTTTCAATTCTTTACATGGTTGTGGGTAAACCATCTTACGACCGCGTTTTGATTGCGAATTACCTGGACCCTCAGACCACCCACACAAATGGGTTACTATCCAGCATGTTGGGATGTTTTAACTGTTTTAGGTATTCAAACATTGCGATAGGTAAGTTAGTTGGCGTGACGGGATCCGCTGGGATAGCACCACCCAGGAAACCCTGGCTTCTGATGATTTCCTTGTAAATACCAACAAACCATGGCTTCCCATGGTTTCAAAATGGTGTAGGGATTTGTCCATCCACAGTAGCTCGCCCTTGGCATCCGGCAGGGTTCCTTCGGTGCGAAGCTTTGTACCTCCGGGAAGGGTTCCGTCCTTCGGCGCGAGGCACGGCGCTGGCACCCAGACAAGCAGGACCCACAGGCGGACACCACCGCGCGCTTTCAGCAGGCACCGCGCGACGTCTTGGGCCGAAGGCTTTGGACACTCCAAGTGTTCCCTGAGAAACAGGAAATCACCCGAGAGTCTTGGCTCTGTTTTCCAGTGCTGCCCTTTTTGTCCCTGTTTTGGGTAATTAAGGGTTCCCCTTTGAACTCAACCAACAAAACAAGGGTGCCCTTCTTTTCCCCTGGCCACTGGGTATGTGAGTTGGGGCACTAAGCTATTTTTATGCGCATTTTCAGGGTCCAGGTGCCCTTTGTTCCTCGCGCAAGTCCTCTGCAGGTTTGGGAGTGCTGTCGGATGGTTGCTCGCTCGCCGAGTTTCTGCGAGCGCAGACCGTTCACGAGGTGCAGCAGGCGTACGAGCAGATCCTGGCGCAACGAATTCAGAAGAGCGCACAGCGCCGGGCTGAGGCTGCACCACCTGCAGGAGTTTCTCAAAAATGGTGGACACCTTTTCGTTTTGCCCAGGAAGATATGTGTTTTTGTTTTTAACCCTGTTGGTTTCAAATAGAATATGTCATTGATGAACTGGAAGTGTTGCTTTTCCAGGGGACATAAGCAAATGGAGGACCCAAGAGGAAACTAACCATTTTAGGTGACCCCTATTTTTGAGAAACGCACAGTGATGCTGCTTCATGCCGGGTCTTTTTGTTGAAACGGGCCGTTCACGAAGTGATCCCGAAGTGTTCCCGGGCTTCCAGTTCCCTGTTGGTACTCAAGGGAACCAACCTGCAAGAAGCAAAGTGGCAAAGGAGTGCCTACAATAGTCTTACTTCCTGAGTTCATGAACTTTACACTTTTTGGGAAGACCATTTTAGTGGTAAATATAAAGTTTGGACTTTTTGTGGGCCATCCACTCAGCAAGTGCCTAGTGGCAACTCCTCACTTTCCACAGGCCCAAATGAAGCATGAGTCTGCCATCGCTTGGTCAAAGCCGACCTTGAAACACCTGAAACGGCTTCCCTGAGTTGGTAACTCTTTCGTGGCGCCAAAAGGTGAACCTTGTATTTCCGGGAGCATGCGTAGGAGTCTATGCCGGTTTACCTGTCCCACCCACCCTTTGAGCAGGGTTTGCCCATGTCAAAGACCTTAAAAAGAGGCTCCTTCAACAAACAGGCGCGTCTTTATCTTAGGGAAGTTTTTTGTGGCTGGTTGAACTGGTTGTAAGGGGAAAACACGTGCCCATGTTTTTATGCCTTTTTTGGCTGGTTTTAAGGGGAAACTCGTGCCGCAAACCGAGTTTAGAGGCCAAGACTGCTGCCCAAGCTTCGTTTTGGCGATCCCGCGTAAATTGGGTGTGTTGTTCTTGGTGGAATGGCTTCAAGAGAAAAAACCAAAGAGACAACACAAATCCATTTTGGGGGGTACCTTAGAAAACCGACACACCCTGCTGATCTGGAAAAAAGCTCCGAGGGAAACCTGGTTCCCGGCGGGCGCCTTTTTGTTTTGGATAACACCCAAACCTTCCGGGGTAAATGGGCTCACCATGAATCTTCAGGTTTTGGACCTTGCAGATCGCTCGATGATTTGGCCCACAGGGCTGTCCAAAGGGCCAGTGCGAGAAATCTCAGGATGCATGAAGCAAGGATGGTATACCATCCCCAAGATCCCACGGTTTGGGTACCGTTTTGGTGGAGCGCCTGGCTTTCAGTGGGGTGCCTTTGGCCCCGGTGTTTTTTTGGATGGGCCCGAAATGGATTTCGGTCACCTCTCGGGTTCTCTGGACAAAACCATGGAGCAAAAAAGTGCCAACTCCAAGAAAAGAGCCAGCCACTTAACTTGGGGGCCTCAAACGGCTGGTTTGACCACATCAAAAGGCGAGTTGCATTCCACTTGCCAGCGGTATTGCTCTACTTCTATACAGGGGCAGGGTACCTAGTAAGTGGCCTGGTTATGATCAACTTAGGAGACTATTATACCCCACTTGATAAGTACCCTCCCCTTTCAGTAGTGGTTCATCCCTCCCAGCTGGTGCGTGGCGTGGGGTTTTGTAACCATGCGTGGACCCTCAAATTACCCCCATCGTTGTGGGGTGATGTCCCTTGTTTACCAGATGTTTATGTTTAGTTTCCCCTGCTGGTTTTAAACATAATCTATCGCTACTGGAAACTCTTTTTTTTGCAGGGGACTTAAGCAGATGGAGGTTAATTATGGGTAGTTTGAGGGCCCAGGAACAACGGTATCATGGCGCAGTTCTGCAGCTCGGGTCGATTTTTGCGGCAGTTCTTCCGATGCAAGGCCCAAAGAGCCAAGCGCTACGCCCGCTACGCCTACACCTCCTGCTCCGCGCAAGGAGAAGCGAGGCAAGATCCCCCATTCTAGGAAAATGCATTTAGGGGGGGGACCTAGGTACCTTATGCATTTTATGTTTATGCATTTTTCTCCCCGCAGCCGCCTTTGTTGGGATGGAGACTCTGGTCCTTCAAAGCCCCGGGAGGTGTGAACGCGCCCGTTTGCGCTCTCAAACTCAGGGTGGGTGGCTTAGGTTGTTTCTTAGGTTGGACCCCCAAGATGGGTGTGCGTGGCATGGGTGTTTCAGGTTGGACCCCCAAGATGGGGGTGTTTTCCTTTTGGTTTTCCTTCAAACCGCCAAACGAAGGGGACCCAATAAGACAAGCCCAGAATTGGTTGGCCTCCAACTTGCATCTTGGATATATTGTTTCCAGCTGCTGTCGGACTCCACAGGTCTGGTCAAGACTTTTTTTGACCTCAGAGCTGTCAGCCACCAAGACCCTTTGTCCATCATCCACCCAAGTCTAAGCACCAATAGTTAACCCCAACACAGATGAGTAAATCTGGATTTGAAGTGCCCCACAATCCCATTCCAATTGGGTTTGTCCCAAAACGAATGTGGACCCCCAGGTTTCCTTTTGGTTTCCCTTTAAACCAACCCGAGAGGGGGTCCCAACCTTTCTGCCTTTTCCAATGTGTAAACTCCCTTTGGTACGGCGACCAAGAAGTAGTGGTTGGATTGGACCTGGGTGGATGCTGGCCCGCTCAACCTTGCTGTTGCTCAGTAGGCTATGACCGTTTGGGGATTCCCTCAAAGGACACCTTAGGTTGGATGCTTTTCCTTTTGGTCATGGCGTTTCTCATGTTCCCCGCCTTTCGAAGCAGCAAGTTTGTTTAAAGGGACACTATGACTACTGAACTTAAATAACAAAAAGGGACTCGAGCAAATGGAGTTTGACCAGCAAGTCGCTCGTTCTCGTCTCGGCCAGACGCGGCCGGGCGCGGGGCTTGCGGGGAAGTCGCCGGCGCGGCGCCGGTCGGCACAGAGGAAGAGCGCCGGCGCCGGGTGGAGGAGCACGCGATCGATGGGAAGCCCATCCCGTTGATGGGCCCTACCTGGAGTCTCCTTCTGACCCTTTAAAAATGGGTCCATGACCCCATGATTTTGGCGAATCACCCCATTTTTAAAGGGTCAGAAGGAGACTCCAGGTAGGCCGAGGTAGGCCCCGAAAACAGCCCCTCAAACATACAGGCTTGGGACGAAAATAGGTCATATTTTTGCAGGCCCCCCGAACAACGATGATTTTTGGAGGTGTGTCTTTGGGGGAGGTATGTTTGGATGAGAAACATGGTGGCGTGTGTGTTTGTGATTTGTGTTTTGTGAGGTACCCCAGTGGGGTCGGTTTTGAAGGCAAAGGGAGAATCCACATGTTTCTTTGGATCCTATTTAAACACACAGAACCTACCCAGACCTCCAGTGGTGCCCTTTTTGCGTTCTGTGGAGGGTCTCCCTTTAAATTCAAGTACCAAAAGAGTTCCCCATGGCCACTGGGGGTCCTGGCTATTTGGTGTTGAGAGGGTGTGTGGTTTTTGTTGGGGGTTGGTCAAAGGGACATCCAAGGGAAGAAATCTGATGCTTGGAGCTCCCTTTACACATCCCATTCGCCAATATAGCGAGTATTCAACCGCATCAGCCTTCAGCCAAAGGGAAAATGTCTGATTACCCCTCGACCCTCAAGGTCACAGTATCCCGGAGAAACGTGAACTTGGAGAGTCCCCCTTATTTTTTCTGGACAGATGCATCCGGTCCTGTCCAGGCCCCGCTTAGTCCATCTTGCTGCTCTATCTAGCCATAAGTTGCCAGGGAAGGCTTGTCGGCACAAGCTCTCGAAAAAGTACCACCCCAAGACATGCACAGGTCAAGCCAGACCCAGTGGATCCCAGTTGCTCTTGCAGCAGGCAACCAGCTTGGGGCTTTAAAAGGCGGCCCGGGGGTACCTATACAGGTAAACAAGATCCACCGGGAGAAGCATCTCTCAGAGGGTTGGGTTGATGCCAGGGACCTGACGTGGTGTTTGTTTTTGTTGGCATTCATAGTTCTGAATGCCGCGTCTGGTTTGGAGTTGGGAGTCTTTGTCCAGTTTAAAGGGAGACCAAAAGGATCCAAGCAGCACCCGGTTTGGCCGTACCTAGAAGATGTCGAACACGGGACTTTTGGGACCCTGGTGCTAGCAGCACCTTCGTTGGTTGATCCCACTTTGAGACAAACCCTAGAAACCCTCAAGCAAAGTTGCAGCAGGTTGCCAGGGCCCCTTCCCCAAAACCTTCCAGTGGTCAAGTCGCCAGTCAAGTGCTCGATTTGGTTTCGCGGATGGAAAGAAACTCACTGCTTTCCAAGGACTTGGAGGTGTAGCTTTCGGTGAGAAGTAAGCTGATGTAACATGTGATGCCATGTGTTGTGCCCCTTGCCACAATGTATATTTCCCCTGCGGTATGCAACCCCAAACTACTGGCTTTGGCGAAAAAAGCATTGCCCGGCAAGATGTAATTCATGTGTATATATATATATAGATGGCCAGCCCCTCCCCATGATCTACCTGTTGTGTCTTGAAGTCGATTTAACTATTTCTTATATATAGAAATTATGCATTTTTACTGCTAGACTGGGGTCGTGGTTGTTTAATGAGTTGTATACTTATATTGATGATGCAGAATCATGAACGTGTATGTACAGTACAAAACCCCTGACCGGATTCTGGTCTCTGGGGGCACTCCACGTTGAATTGACCATGATATATAAACATGCATTTGTACAGTGTGTTCTTGTGTTCAACTCTTACAAAGTTCAAAAAACACTTTTTGGAGTTGTTTTTATGTATGCAAGCATTAAATCTTATAAAACACGAACTCCTGAGGGAAATTCTAAAACCACAAACATCTCGAGTTGTTTTGCGAGGGATGATAAACCCAAAAAAAACTGAGGCAAACAACAAAAAACCGCATCGAGAAAACCAGCCAACACAAAAACACAATCTGGGGGAGAATCTGTAGTTTCAGCCCCAAGCTTTGTTGTTTGATTTTCTCAATTTGTTGTTTTTGTGTTTCCTCAGTTGTTTTGGTTGTTGACATTATCCCGCGCAAAAACCGAAGCAACTCGAGTTTTTTGTTTTTTTGAGAAGGCCAGGTTTCCACAAACCAACAAATCCTCGAGTTGCTATGTGTTTGTGAGGGATATTGTCAAAAACCAAACAAAACTGAGGGAAAACCCACACAACTAAAAACACCTTGAGAAAACCAAAGAACCAAAGTTGGGGGCTGAAACCAAGCGTTTTCCTCCAGAGATTGCCTTGGTTGCTTTTTGTTTTCTCGTTTTTTCTTGGGGTTGGTTGGTTTTTCCTCGGTTCTTTGGAAAGTATCCCTCACAGATCGTGTTCCTTTTGAAACTTTCAGAAAACCAACAACACACCGAATTTTGTTTGTGGGCATTGCTCATCAAGTTTGGCTGTTCTGTTGTGATTTACTCCCTTATGTTCTTGTCGAAGGTGTGACCATATATGCACACGCCTTGCTGCATTGGACATCTTGGATGAACACTTCTATCAGCGTAGTCAGCGACCTCAGTCTAGATCAGACTGAACAAAGTAATCTGCTACAGAATAGGACTTTGATCAAGCAAATATTATAATTTAGATAGAATAGAAACAACAAACTGCAGAGTTGAAATAGATGTTCGAATTTTCAACTCAGATTTCAACCTTGGCGTGAAATACTTGACTCAAGCCTCATAAGGCACCTTGTACGGCTCCTTCCAAGGCTCCTGATAAAGCTCCTTACAAGGCTCCTAGAAAAGTCCTTATGAGGCTCGTTGTAAAGCTCGGCTCGCTTTAAAGCTTCTAATAAGGCTCCGTACAAAGCTCCTTGTAGGGCTAGCTATAAAGATCTTTATAAAGCTCCTTTTTTGAAGCTCCTTTTTGAAGCTCCTTGTCCTTGCGGAAGGAGCTCGGAGCTCGACACAAGCAAAGAAACAACATCAACAAAGCAATAATCAAACAAACGATCCAGCTGCGCTGTGTGTCTTCGAGCTCGAAGAGCGAAGGAAACCCTACCCGTAGGGTATATCGCTGACGTGTTTGGTTGCACCCCAAGCTCCGCCTCTGCACGCAGGCCAGCCCAAACATTAGAAGCCCAAAACATCCCCGGCAGCCCTGGCCTTGCGACGGGCTCCTGATGCCATGTTGCCCAACCTTCAAAAATCACTGCACATACCGTGCAAATCGCTCCAACATCGTTCTGCATCCTTGCCAACTTCAGCAGCATCCCCAGCTTTCTTGCATCACTAGCCTCGCATCCCTTACACCCCCTGCATTGCTCAAACCCTCAAAACATGGCCCTGAGAGTAGGTTTTGGCAGTGGGCAGACATACTGGGCATGTATGCGATCAACGGAGCGCGGTTTCTGCGCAAGCGGGGTCACCTATTTTTGCCCCACGGCTATTCAGGGCTATTGCTTGTGCAGGTCGCGGCTCCCAGATACTCAACATGGCGTCAGGAGGATCCGGCCGTCAGGAACCCCCCCCTGCGTTTGGTTTCACATTGGTCTCCCGCAGTTCTCTGGCGCAAGGCTTTATCTATGCACTACCGTCGCTGGGAGTGCACGCAACTCCGATCGCGGCGCTTTATTCTCGTGGGGCAGTCGCAGGAAGCCGGCTCTCTTGCGCGCTGGCCAGACGTCTGCCCAGCCGCGGGCGTCTCACCACGGCTTGGACTCGCGCGGAGGCGGTGGTCACGCGCCTCGGTTCCGGCGCGCATCGTGTCGTGTACCAGCTGGGCCCGGCGCGGGCGATAAAGCTTGCGCGAACGTGCCACGATAACGAGACCGAGCTCAAGCTTTCGAAGGTGCTGGGCAAATCGCTCGCCCCGAAGATCTACCGCGTCGAGAGAGGCTATCTCCAAGTGGAGGACCTTCAGAGAACTATCCCGGGCATATGCTGGAAAGCGAGTTGGTGCTGAGCCTGCACGTGGTCGCGGAGTCCTTTGCACTCGCCACTTTGGCCGCCATCGCCCGGGCCAGTTCCGAAGGCGTGCGAATTGGGGACTCCGAGTTCCACAACCTCGGGGTCCATCAAATTGGCAGTCAGGCGCGTGTCGTCTTCGTGGACATGGGTCATTGCACGCTACGCCCTGACTTGCGCAACTGCTTCCCTGGGAAGAAGTTCAAGCAGGGCGCATTCTCTTCTATCGCGCACACCTGCTCCTTGGAGTTCGTGCGGGAACTGCAAGCCCTCCCTTGTAGCGCTGGCCCGGTGTGACTCGGTCCGGATCTTGGACGCTCTGCACATCCGTGGGCGGCGCATGCAACGTGAGCGGGGCGTGTGAAGGATACGGCGACCGCGGGAACAGTGCGTACTGAACGTCGAGTCGCGGGCATCCGGGTCTATAGGCGGGCAGCAGATCGGCTCCGACCTTTGGACTTTTGGGCGCCCAATTGGCGGCCAGCGGGTGGCACCTGCCGTTGGTGCGAGGTGGAAAAGTGTTATAGTGAGACGCCGCGACCGAGGTTTGCAGTCGTAGTGTGTGTGTGTCAGGGTCAGAAAGGTAGTCTCTTGGCTGGTGTTGGACGCAACTGCCCTGAGTTTGACCGCTTGCTGGTCCGCACACCTTGCTTTCTGGCTCAAGTAGGCCTGTTGGAGAGAAACACGTCCCGTTGCGGACCTCCTTACTCCAGATCGGATGTTGAATACACAAGCGGGTTGAACAGAAGTTAATGAAACAATCAATTCAGAAAGAGAATTCAACCAAGAACTTCCCAACCATGAATTCCATGTGAACACTTTGTGTTAGTAGAATTTCTTAAGGAAGTAATTTGTTCAGAATCCTTTTCCAAAAGGATCTCGATTAACACTAGAATGGAATTATTCAAAATTTGCAGATGCAGCAGAACACACAGGAATTATACGCAATGACCTGCAAGTGAATAAAGCTCCTCTCAAGGCTCCTTATAAGGCTCCTTATGCCAACCAGGAGGGTAAAGTTCAAATTTAATAATAAAAAATTGAACAGAATTTCACAAGACAGAATGTGGACACTTGACTGTTTCGAATGAGGGCATCCAAATAAGACTTTATTTGTATAATGATTCAAGCTGGGTTTAATGGGGGATAAGTTAAACCAAAACTTAGCCTCTATAAATAGGGGTGTCTGTCGTTTTCGCCGTACCCGAAAATAAAAGCGTAAACAATCACGTAAATAAATCAAGCTTTCTGGTTGGCCTGGCCCTTAATAGGAAGAGTCCGTAAATAATATGGTAAATAGTGAGGTAAATTAGTTGTAACTTATTTTGGCTTGCCCGATCTTGAGTGACCCTGCGTGAGCTGGACTTAGTGTCCCTCATTGACAGGGATGTGTATTGGCGAGAATCTTCCCCTTCGCGAATTTAACCTGCTCATATCACTGAAGGAAGGCAAAGCGTCATGAGTCATGAACCATTGGAAGAGCCGCGACAACTTTGACATGAATGTTCATGCGTACTGGTAGCTGCGAGCCACAGTTTTTGCTCGCGAGCATGTGTCGCGTTGGCAAAGCCAAAAAGCTCCGGACGCAAAAGCGCGTGCGCCCATGCTTGCGCTTGGGTTGCGTTGCCATGCTAATAAGCAGCCAGAACCCCCACCAAGATACATGTCAATTTGTGTTTAGTGATCATGAGAAAGGAGATGTTGTAGGAACCGAGGACTAGGAACACTGCGTCTTGTCAAAGAACGTCCGGTATGTCCGGTCATTGGTTATGTCAGCTGCGTGAACAACATTAAGAATATTTGAGGGCGCTTTCCAACAATCAAGACTTAGTCAGCTATTTGTTGGGCGACCTTGCGAGGGCCAATCTTGAAGAACATCAAGATTAACGTCTATATTCCTAACATGCACCTGGCGCACAGACACACAGACACCACCCACACACACAAACACACATGCACACACGACTCTACGAGGTTGTCTCCGCGTGGCCGCTGATCCAACCAGTCAGGAGTTGCAAAGGACGATTTTAAGCCTTGCCTTCTTGCAGCTTTGCTTGCCGCGTTGTGGTACTGTCGCGCGTTGTTTTTTTGTTTTTTTCCTTTGCCGCGGCTTCGCCTTGTTTGTCCGCAAGACCCAGGGAATCCAAGAACCGATTCCAGAAACCCAGTTGAGCAAAGGCCGGAAAAGAGGAGCGATCGATGCTGTCACATGTGCACGCAAGTTCTGCGGACGGACCTCCATGCTCAAAATGTGTCCCCTGAACGGTTCAGAACGGTTCAGCCAGCCTTTTTCTGCGTAAATGGTTGCGTAAATTTTCGCGTAAATTTCAGACAAGTCTTTGCCTTTTTGTGCTTTGAGATTTCGGATCGCTTGCGATGTTCCGATGCCGGCCTGACCATTTACCTAGGACTAGGAACCGCCAGCCGCGTGCTCACGAACCGTTCCGAGGAACGGTGGCAACCAAACTGCATGCCCCTGAACCGTTCTGAACCGTTCCGAAAGCATTGGAACGCTTGCCCCTGAACCGTTCTGAACCGTTCCGGAGGCATTGGAACCCATGCCCCTGAACCGTTCTGAACCGTTCTGGAGCCCATCTAGCAAGCAGCGCACAGAGCAGGCGTATAGTTCAGAACCGTTCTGAACCGTTCTGAACCGTTCGTCACTCAAGCTTCCCAGGAACCGTTCTGAACCGTTCAGGAGGGATTGCAGCATCATACTATGAACCGTTCTGAACCGTTCAGCAGTCATTGCAGCGGCATACCCTGAACCGTTCTGAACCGTTCAGGAAGAATTGCAAGCAGCATGCCCTGAACCGTGCTGAACCGTTCAGGAGGGATTGCAGCATCATACCCTGAACCGTTCTGAACCGTTCGGAGACATTGGAGCTGCGTACCTAGGAACCATTCCGAAGATTGCAACAGCATGCTCAGGAATTGCTCTTGCTTCTGCTCACGCATGCTTAGGCTTACCAACCACGTGTTTAAGACTTAAGATGTTTGGCCTCCTAACATTCGCACGGCAGCTGCTAAGGATTTAACAAAGATCATTCAATCAACACCTTGGGCGCTTGTTATGGAGATGGGAGGGGCGCGTTGGAGCCTTACCTTCTTTGTGCCAATGTTTTGCCATTGGCTTGTCTGATTGTGCGCCTTTTATCTCTGTTCAGGCCTGTTACATGGCAAATGATGCAGCTTCCAGCTTCCAACACTGAGGCACACATTGTTTACATGATCTTTTACGTGTTTCTTTAAGGCCTGTTTTTGTTTACATGAATACTTACATGAAGAGTGACGTGGTTTGTTACATGACTATTGGCCGGTTTTAACCTCCACAGAGATAGAGGCTAAGTTTTGGTCTAAGGGATAAGTCTAGTCTGAATGCTTTTTTGGCAATTTTGATTTGAATGTGCGTTCCTTCCCACATTGGTTCTCGCATAAGTTTCAAGTGGAAATTGAGTCCAATTTAACAAGCATGATGCATTTCTGCTGGTCTTGCAGATGCGCGACGACGCGGACAGAGCTGACTTGTTTGGCTCGCAGATGGAACATGATACATTGTGACATACAGTTGGTTTGTGCCCGCAGATGGTACAGATTAGTGCAGATGGCGCAGAAAAAGTAGATCGAGCGGGCGGAGGCTGATCATATTAATCTGTATAAATATATACATGTCCAAAAAAGTTTCGTATAGATGCATACATATCCATATACATGAAAGTAAGTACAAACCTACATATATGGGGCATGGTTTCGAGGATACACCCCCATAGCAGCAGTCCTTAGGAGCACATGCAACGAGAAGCCGAAGCCTTTCTCAGCGGCAGTGCTGCACCAAAGGCGCCAGATGTGAGGCCGGGCGGGGGCGGGGGGGGGGGTTGGGGGGTGGGGGTTTGCTTGGGTGCCCTTTTTTCGGTTGGTTGGACTCACTCTCTGAGGTCATGGCCTTGAAACGTTTTGGATTCGGAGCCTTTGAGTGGCAAACATAAAGTTTGGTTACTTTTTGTCGGCCAGTCCACTCAGGAGAAGGAGGTGAGTTATGGGCAAACCAAAAGACAAGCCCTTTAGGGAGGACAGGTTGGCACAACACAACCATTGGCGTTGGTACTTTACATTTCAAGCAGTAATGTCTAGAGCTGGACATATGCAAAAGCAAGTAGCACAGCGCAGTCCCAGGCGCACAAGGTTCGCGCTCGTATTTGGGTCTTCCGGAAGCTTGCGGAAGGGGACGTGGATCTATCTTTTGTTAGACACATGCAGTCAAATGAGAGTTGAGCAAGTCGTATGAGAAAAAAAGAAACTATTGCCAGTTTATGGCTGGAAAACGCGCAGGACGTGTCCTCTTGGGAACGACAAAATACTGTCCGGAGTCCGTGGGTCACATGGACCCACCCGGACAAAGAGTGGTGGTCCGTCTGAATTTGCAGGAAGATGTTGCCAACGTCTCGAGCACAACATATACCCAACACACATCCATTCACTACATCTCGTTGGAACAACGTTGTACTTTAGTCATAGAGACAAGAGCTGATGGTGCCAGTTTCGCGTGTTTTGGGTCGGTTTTTCCTGTCAACACCTGGGGATTTGGGCCACGGGGAGCGCTCACTGATGATGGCCAGGGTAAAAGCAAACACAGCTTGAAGGGTGATATCTGGTCATTTGTACCTAACGTGACTGAAGCCCATATACAATGCATTTGACGATTGGCAAAGGTGGCCAGATTTTTTTGCTGACGGTATTGGAAGAACCAGTGGCAATTCCGAGTGCTGTGTCTTGTTACCCACCTGGTAAGTTGTTCAAAGAGTGATGGACAGCGGAGCAAACTTTCACTCCGGCAACTGGCATTGGCTTTGCGCCCAGATGTCCTTGACATGGATTGTTCGTTTTCCAAGAGAAAACACGTTTGGAAGACCTCAGTGGAAGAGCCAAAGTCAGCACACTCGAGCAATATATCTGCTGAACACCCATTTCCCTTTCTTTCATTTAGGTCAGTTTGCCCGTTAGAACAAGGTGCATTACCATCAGCAACTTGTTTTGTGGCAGCGATGTCAGAAGCAGTAGCCATTCAGATCATTGGTCTCTGTGATAGGTTCCGTTTCCTTCAGCTTCAGCTCAAGGCATTTCGTTCGTGGGAACTTGTGACTCCAATCCCTGGCCATGGTTGACATGGCTTCGGATTTGTGCTGTGAGTTTTGATTCCCGATGCCCGCGTCAGGTCTCGGGATGCCATTCCCAAAATCATCACCCCGGCAACTCACCTATGGGCCAAGAAGGTGATGTTTGAAACCGCAAAGGGAACTACCAGCACCAGCCAACCACTTCTTGTTGGACAATTAAAACCAGGGGCATTTTGGACATAGGAGGGTGTGCTAGGCACTCAGTGCATCTGAGCAAACTTTGATTTGGTCGCACAAAAGCGAGAAGAATGCCGGCGCTTTAGGCCTTCAAAGGCTTCGCTGCATGATATGCTCCAGAAGGCCCAGGAGAGGCAGAAGAAGCAGACGGAGAGCATCCAGGAGGGGCATGAAATCTGGCATCGAAACACTTCCCCCCAGCCCTTTTCAGGTCAACGGCGAGTGGTTAGCCCATGCTTGAACCCCAAAACACATCGCGATATCGTGGTCGGCGCCTACTTGCCACGGCGCAGTGACCCAGCCCTGTTCAGGAACGGCTTCGCGAGTGGAGTGCAAAGGTGGAGCGAGCGGGCCAAAGCGACCCGACCTGGTAGTATCCGTCATCGGACTGAGGTTCGATGGATTCGTTTGTGTGTTGTTGGAGGGTACCCTTTGATGCTTTGAAGGGAGAACCACCGTTTGGTGGGTCCTATTAACATACCCATCTGGATGTTTTTTTTCAATCTTAGAGTTGCCTGACGGCCTTTCTTCGGCTGCCCTAAGCCATCCAGAGCGAGCTGTTTTTTTTCTTTGGGGACTGGCTCACCATGAGTTCCCTTTTTTGTTCCTGGTGGTTCGGGCAGGGGCATTGTTCCTTGTGGTTAGGTCAGGGTCATGAGTCATGTGTCCTTCCTTTTTCACTTGGGTTCCAAACAGAAGCCTCAGAAACCAACACTGTTGCAGAGGGGGTGAGGAGGCTTCTCTTTTGTGAACAGTATGAGCTGAGAAGATGATGGCTAGGAGGAGGGGAGACCGGAGAAGGGGCCGAAACGTGCCGATTCCCGACCAAAGCTGTGAGCCAATTTGCCACTTGCGGGACCGACCAGAGCCATATTCTGGCCCGCCACCAGGATATATGCACCGCTTGGTTCCATTGTCCAGGGTCCCAATTCGGGTAGCCAGATTCTTGTAAAGGCCCACCATATTTTTCCGGATCTCAGGTTTCGAGTTTGGGTTTCAAACAAAGGTTGGTTGGTAATCCAAGGCTCAAATTGTTGCATGAGTCGTCATAACAGGCACGCTCTAAGGACAGGTAGACGAAACATACTGCAGAACAAACAAGTTTTTTGTTCTGTGTACCCTAAGCGTTTTCCAAATAGGACGACGGATATAGTGGCTTTCAATCATGAAGGAGCCGAGCTTGGCGAGGGTGTTGAACGCCAGACTCTCCGAGCTCTTGAAATGATGAATTCGGGCGCTGGAGAAACGTAACATCTACAAGGGAACATGCATCATCCTGGCATCAATCCACACAGCCGAACTCGATGTGGTGTGGCATTTATTTTGCGTATCCTGGATAGCTTCAACAAGGGCCACTTCAATCTCTTGAAGACTGAGCTTGGCAGGGTATCATCCTGACTCCTAGTGGCGTAGGGGATTCGCAGTCTAGTGTCAAGCCCTGCATGTGCAAAGGAAAGGTTGGCGACAGCCGGGACAGCAAGCGCCAGTCCCCGAGACGAGCTCAACCTGAAGCTCCTTGGCACGCATATGATGTGTCAAAATAGGACCCAACAACTTGAGAAGTGTGCCTTCTGGTATCCCAGATGTAAACCAAAGGTGATATACCCTCAAAAGACATACATACGAACACATCAACTTGTTCTGTGTCGACTTGCTGCTGTTTCTCGCGGGGCCGGTTCTGCCTCTTTCTGCGGGTGCTGTCGCGCCAGAACCCAAGGGCCAAGCGGGATACGGGATGCGACGTGATGTACAGCAAGCTGCAGTGTTTGTATGCGCTCTTGTTCTAGGATCATGACATGCGCTTTTTTAAAATGTGCTTCGCCGACCTGGGACCTTGCAGAGAATGCAACCAAGCGACCTTCAGGCAATCAACATTACAACACTTGCAATGAACGGCTATTTGCTTCGGCAGCCAATTGACATGAACACATCTACTTTTCGTGTGTGGCAAGATCCATGTTGGCAATGCGAAATCGGTAGCTCAAATGCATCTTGGATTTGACCGATTTCTTGGTAACTCTTAGAAACTGAGAGTCCTTAGCGCTGCGAGCGCCTCTGTGCAGATGTGTAAAGTTATAGGCATGTGATCTTTGGATTTTCACTCAGCATTTGTCCATTGGTGGACTGAGAGATTCAGAAACTCTTGATGACCGGCTGCTGGATCGTTTGACAATGTGGAAACATCTCAAACTGGGGGACCTCTCTCCCTTTTGGTTGGCATAGAGAGAGAGAGAGAGAGAGAGAGAGAGAGAGAGAGAGAGAGAGAGCGAGAGAGCGAGAGAGGGAGAGGGAGAGGGAATCCAAGGGAACCCTTTGAGAATTTTCTGGTGTTCGAAAAGCTATGACATGGGGACAGCTTCTGGTCAAAGTAAACAGAACGTGTGTGTGTCATTCTTGTCTTAGGGGATTCCCCTTTTTGTGTGGTTCGAAAGGGAAACCAAAACAGAAGCCGAAGCCATTCTGGCGGGTCCGATTCCTCAAAACAACCGACGCCCACATGGATTCCCCATTCTTTTTCACTCATCGTTCCTTTCAAAAGGATCCCTGGAAAGAATGGAAATGGAAGGTACCCCTAGAATATTCATAAAGGTAAGCTTAGCTTTCAGTCACCGAGCCTTCTGCACTCCCGGTTTTCTTCTGCTCGCAGGTGGCGCTGACTTCCAAAGGCCCCACGCCGAGGCGAGCGCTTGGAGTTTGCCTTGGGCTCTTTTGGGCCCGTGCCTGCGCGTCAACATAAGACGTTTGGACACCCCAAAATCATGGGATTTCTCCGGGTCTTTGTGTAAGGTGTGACCGAATCGACCCTTAGAACCTTTGGAGTCAAAGGTCCTTTCCGCTACAAAAGGTCCTTAAACGACCTTTTGCTCGTTAGGGAGGGAACAACCCATCCTTGATGGGTTTTCCTTTTGGTGTCCCTTTCCAAAGCCAAAGAGGGTGCCCTTAAAAAATGGGCCTCATGTTTGTGGTCTAGGTGCCGTGAGGATCTTTGCGGGCCTGAGTCTTGATATCTGGGCGCTAAGTGATGCCGCATTGGCCTAGGGGCCCGCATTGTTTTGAAAGGTGGCTCGGCGTTGCAGCGGTCGTAGGCATATTGTGGAACAATATATATATATATATATACATATATATACACACATATCTCTATATACAATATAATTTAGATGCAGCATATGTGCAAGGGTTCAGGCAGGTAGACATGTGTGGTTGCGTGGTTGTGTGGTTGTGTGCGTGTGTCAGTGTGGGTATGTTTGTCATCGGCGGTAGAAACAGAAGTTTGCCATTTGGATATCAGCTACAGGTGGAAGCCCTTGTTCATGAACATGTGGTGCCCTGGGACCCCTACTGCCCGGCTCAAACACGAAAGCATGACTGCGTCTTGTATAACTGAGGCGCCGAATTAGTGCAGGCCAGCCGTACAGGTAGTTGCCAAACCCAAAAAAAAAAAAAAAAAAAAATCAGCTACAGCAATGCAGACACACACCCAGAATAACTTGATTGACAGGCTTGGAAAGCTCGGGCCTGGCAGAGCTTCTGTGCTCTTGCGTTTCCATTCTCACGATGTGTTGCCGTGAGTATGCTTCTTCTGCTTTCTTATTCTGCTGTGTATTATTAGCATTATTATTCGTCTTAGTAGTTTTACTATTTTTCGTGATGTTGATTTCTTCTGCTACCTCTTGTCACTGTTGGCATATTGGCTGCTTGTCGCTGCTTTTTTGGCGCCTGTGCCACAGCCCCTCAGGCCCACTTCGCCCATGCTGCTGGGGCGGCTTCGATCCAGGGAGACGCAAGGTGGGGATCTCAGTGGTCGGAAGGTCGATCTGCGGGAAGCGTCTTGGGTAATTTTGCCCAAGAGCTGGGTATTCACCTGGGAGACGTGAGACGTCCTTGTAAGAAACCAATGGCAACGACAGGTCTACGTTTCCTGTGCTTGTCAAGAGCACCCCAAGGCCAATGACCCCGTTTTGTTTTTGACGGTTCATCCGTTCTGCACTGTTCTGCACATTTCGCCACGGCAAACCTGCGCGACAGACATCTCGAGAGCAGATGCCGTCAATCATAGTTGATTCTAGTGCTACCTGCCATTTCCATTTTTTCCAGGGATCCAATTTTTTCTCGACCTCCGGAAACCCTTTCGGAAACGGGTCCGGTTTTTTCAAAAACGATGGAAAGAATGGGATTGGAATCCAACCCTATGGATCAGAAGATGCGGTTCGACCCGAATCGATCGCCTCTTTAAGCCCTCGAAGCCCCGACCAAAACGGGCTCAAGCACAGGCGAAGGGCGGGCCGAGGGAAGCTGAAAGACAGGGGTTGCTCAACCAGATCACATGTCAGGGGGTGTGAAAAAATTCGCCAAGTTACGTTGTTGGTATAGCCTGGGTTTTTAACCCACTTGTTATTGCCCAAATTGGCTAATCCACTTGCTAACTTGGCAACTCGAGCATTCAAGTAGTAATTACTTGCACGAGGACATGTGGCTGTTTCCCTGTAACCTTCTGTGGATGGACAAATTCTGTTTGTACCTAAGAAACCCTGGTTTCTGATGCGATTCCCCAACTCAAATTCCAACGAACCTTTTGGTTTCAACTCCATGGCAACTCACTTCGTGGTGCAGGAAGATCCCCACTACTGTGGATGGACAAAATCCTGCACCACCTGAGAAGCCCAAAAATCCTGATTCCCAACGGATTTCGTGAATCCACAGTATCACTGACCGGGTTGGGTGACCAGACGTCCGAGGTATCGAGGAAGATCTCGATCTGCAGCAGCTTCTGGAGGGCAATCGCCTGGCCGTGTGCAGGTGGTATGCGTCTTGCTCCAAATCCAGGGGGCGCGGAATCAGAACACTTGGTGGTTCCCAGCCATCCGGTTCCTTAGCCTTTCAGCTTCTTCGTGTTTAGTGGTTGGATTTCCATGCAACCCACCAAAAGTTAAACTTTTAGTGGGGGATCTGAGGACAGCCCAGAAAAACATGTTCCATGTGCTGAAATGATGTTTTTCGTTTTTAGAGAAACAAGCCACATTGCTTTTGGTGCGCCGAGAGGTTCGGTGGTTCGCTGATTCCTTTGACCTCAAACAGGGTGTCTATGTTTGCAAACACACGAGATCCATTTGCTCGTGGACCCAACCAGGAAAAGGGGGTTCCAGAAGCTCATGGCTCGGTTTTCATGTCCTGGACTAGGGCAATGGTCACGACTGAGAAGGATTCGATTTGTTTCGCCTGACGCAAATGGATCTCCCTGGAAGATCCGTCGGAGTTGACGGGGCCGAGGCCTCAGTCTGAGGGCCTGACTTGCCAAGTCATTTGGGTGCGTGTTTGTTAAGGTTCCCCCCCCCCCCAAATGGTGTTTTTTCTTGTTGGTTTCCCTTTCAGAACCCACCCTCAAAAAAGATAAACGCAGTTTGGTCTATTTGGCTGTATCTTTGAATCTTTGACCTTTCATTTTTGGGTTGGCTATGTACGTATGTCAACCACTAGCCTACAACATCCTACAACCAACTTAGGCTTTTGCGCACGGGGGGGGGGGGGCAATAGGGTGTGTCTCAAAAAAGGGGACCCCCACCCCCCCACCCCCCAACCCCGGTTTTGGATGGCTTTGAAAGGAAACCAAAAGGTAGGCACCTCCAGAAGGCCGCAATTTTCGGGGTTTCCCCCGATGTCTTTTCGAGTCTCAGGTCTTGTTTCGGCTGGTGCTGCTGATGCACCACCGGGAGCGCGCCAAAGCTCGACTCCAAAGCGCGCTGAGGCCAGGTGCCTGAGAGATTGAGCGTTTCAAGGCCCCTCCTGAAAGGTGCGGAAGAAATTGTTCTGGCTTCATAGAGTCGTGCGAGTGTTTCTTTTTCTTGAGGCTCAGAGGGTGTTTCTTGGTATCTTCCTTTGGAGGTCAGGTACTTAGTTACTTGAACCCCCTTTCAAGCCGTTCTCAGGTGATACCTGGACCCTTTGGGATTGATGCTGCAATATCAAGCGTTGTTTTGATTTCTGTCGGAAACACCAAGGCTATTTTCCACAGCCACGTATGGTGTCAGCACGATGCCAAGTCTGCTCAGGTAATTCGCAACTGGCGCAGGACTGCAGGAGAGTCGCAAGTTACAGGCCACAAGCGGCATTGCCCTCTGCCAAAAACGGAAAGCCATAGATTTGCGCATCATTTTAGTAAAGCCCCCCAAATACTGTCGAATAAGTTGCCAAACTCAACTCAGACCAGCTAAAGCGGGCCGTTCATGTTGACTCGCCGCCAAACTGGAAGCACAGTTCGGAAGAGTTGTTTCTTTGAGTTTGTTTTCCAATGTCATCGTGTGTTGACCCCATTTGTGGGCGGTTCCTTGTGGGGTGGCCAACATGCACTTAAACGACACTCGAGTGAACTTGATTGCTCTCAGCATTGATTGAAATGCCTCAGCTGTGGAGGCTAGGAATGGCAATGATGCTTGGTACTTCGGATTCAGTTTGCTGCCTTGGGAGGTCAGTACTTTTCTCAACTCCAGAGCGCACAGGGGTCTTGGACGACTATCATCAACTTAAAAGGGCCATTCTCGACTTTCATGGTTTCTGCAGTTTTACGTGGTATCCCCAACAGGAATCTTCTCGCAACAGGAGACTCCTTCCAGCAACTTCCACGGTAGCTAAGGGATTTTCCACCCTTTGTTTACGGCTGGCTGCCTACAAGAATAGTGATAGCTGGGATTCTCAAAGGGGTCCAACTCGGACATTGACACGGGAGTGGCTAGAGGGTGTCATGTGCCGCATGTTCGATGTCGCCTCGCTGAACTGTTTTGACCTTGATGGCCTATGGGGCAGATGATGTTGAATGTGGAAAGCCCAAAAATGGTGGGTTTCCAAGAATCCGGCGTAAATGATGTCCACCACAGGGGCCCCATTCGGCCTTGTGCCACCTTCAAAGGGGTTTACTGCCACCAATGGTCAACCATTTTGACAATGGTCCCTGACTGGAGTGTTTGAAGTAGTGACTTGGACCTCCAGTGGTGCTTCACGTGCGTGGAATTGTTATTTACCCACCATGCTTTTTTTTTACCTAGCTGGCACAGGGCTAACCCTGGCAGGTGGTTGGTTGGTCGGTCGGTCGGTTGGTTGGTTGGGTGGGTGGGTGGTTGGTTGGTCGGGGGCTCGGTGGGACAAAGGTTTGGGATGGGTTTAGGGTGGGTGTAGGGTAGGTTTGGGGTAGTCCGTTTAGGGTAGGCTCAAGCCCTGCATCGTTTTAACATCCTCAGCATCGTTTTCAGCATCCTCAGCATCACCAGGTTTTGGTTTGGGCTGGGTTTAGTGGGTTCCAGGTTGGCTCAGGGTCGGCTCTGCTTGCAGCAGATGGTTTAGTGCTGGTTTATGGTGGGGCTTCTTGGGGTTGGTCTCGGGTAGGTTTACGGCTGGTTTCGGCTGGTTTCGGGTGCCACCTACCTGAAACCACCCAAGTGGGCTTAAGCAAAGCTATGGCTGCAGCCAATTTCCAGCCGAAACCAGCCCTAAACCTACCCGAGACCAACCCCAAGAAGCCCCACCATAAAGCAGCACTAAACCATCTGCCGCAAGCACAACCACCCCCAAATTTGCTCTTGATAGGTTTGGAATCCACCGAGAGCCGACCCTGAGCCAACCTGGAACCCACCCTAAACCCAGCCTGAACCAAAACCTGGTGATGCTGAGGATGTTGAAAACGATGCTGAGGATGTTAAAACGATGCCGGGCCTGAACCCATCCCAAATCGACTACCCCAAACCTACCCTAAACCTACCCCAAACCTTTGTCCGTTAGTGTCTCCTTTCGTGCACGCCAGGCTGTGCCAGGGTTAGGCTAATGCCAGGGCTATTCAAAAAATAACACCTCAGCCAACAAATTTCCCCCATAAAACGCCACACCTCCAGTGGCGCTTCACTTGCACCACACGATGTTCAACCCCTTCCAGAGCTGGACACTTGTCAGGCCTGATGCCTTTTGACTCGGAGATTTTTCGAAGTTGGCGAAGCGATAGACCGCACTTTCGCCAGAGGGTGTGGCTTAAGGATTGGGGTCCAAAATGGAAGCCGGTAAATGGACAGGGACTCAAACCTGCGCAACCCAGCGGTCTAATTTCCAGCGAACTGGGCAAGTTCTTGCTTGAAGTTCGACCCTTTTCTGCACAGCCCAAGTTACAAAGTTGGACAAATCACAGTTAAGCTTCCGGAGGTGAGTTCCCCCTCGGCATTCTGAGTCCATAGCACTCAGCGATGGTTTTTCTTGATTGTTGGGGCGTCCTCTTTTTGGGGTGCTTGAAAGTGCAACCAAAGGCAATCCAGTTAAAGCCCAATTTTCTGTCCGGTTGTTGTTCCGCCCGCAACCTTTTCGTCAGGAGCCTCCCACACTTGTGCAGGAGACTCTCCGGAGCAAACTTGGCGCAATAACTTCCAATTGCTCAAGAGCTCTTATTTCCCCCTCTTGGTTGTATATGGAATTTATGACTACTGGAATTTTGCACTGTTCTTCAGGACTCAAGCAAATGGAGGATAATTCTGCAGCTGCGCCTGGTATGTTGCATTGGCGACAACCTGTGTAGGCGATACACAAGTGTCCCCAGCAGGAGTCCTTGTACAGGGCATGGCTTGCTTGTTCTTGGAGAATATGGGAATTGATCATGTTTGGCATATCATCATGTTTCATTTGGTCATACTGGCTGAAGGTCCTTGAATTGGCCATACACGAGTGTCATGTCTTGTTGGAATGTCATTTGCACAGCGAGCAAGATTATGCGTGGAATGGCGCATCTTTCCCAGCATTTCCCCAAGCAAACTGCCGGGAGTAGCTAGCTCGACCTTGCTTGCAGTGCTCCGCCCAAGAGGGACGGGCAGTTCGCGCATGCGAGCGCACATGGCTTGGCTTTTGACTTCTTTTGGTAGGAATTCCCCCCCAAAAAAATCGAAGAGAAAAAAGAAGCGCAAGTGTTTTTTTCTGCTTTAGTTTCCCTTAACAACCACAAACAACTTGGCACCCTCAACAAAGCACACCCACCCACCCACCCACCCACCCACGCATGCACACGCACGCAGGCACGCACGTACACACGCACTCACCCAGGGCGTCCTTTTTTGCTGAATATGGATCGATGGGAATGGCATGGTTTCTTTTATACGTTCATCATTTATCAGTTTCACACAACGGACGTTGAACATTTTACTGGGGTAACCTGCCGTTGAGGCTTCAAGTTCCCCCATCCCCGCGTTTGGCAAGAAAGTTTCTACATTTTCCGGGACCTGCTGCAACATTTCACTGACGCCTTCCGATGTTGAGAATTGTCGGCACACTCTGTGTGTCCGGGAAAAAAAAACATCCAGGAAAGGTTTAGCTTGGGCACACAAATTACCATTTCGAAAACAACACCAAGATCATCACGGAACATGTTGTGTAGGTCGTCAAGTCGAGTTGGTGCATGAGTGGAAATGTACAGCCTGGAGGCTGCACATGCATTGGAAAGATCCGTCCAGAGGGCACCAACCTGGGAATTGCCCTGGCCGAATGCTTTGGTTAGGGTTATGGCCCTGGTGTAACTACACTAGGAGGTTGCTAAGCCCACTTGCAGGCCAAGCAGCTAGCTCGGGCGGGTGCCTTTTGGACAGAATTCGCAAAGTAGGAGATAATGATTTGCTGAAGCTCCCAAGGAGCAACCAGCTTGTGACGAGGAATAGCTGCACAGATGCGCAAGAGGCAGGCAAAAAGGCAGATTCCCAGAAGTCGTCACAATCTCGAAAAGAGCAAGTGCTTGCCAAGCAGCAAGTCGTCGGGGTGCTTGCGTGTGTTGGTTTCTCTCTCATGCTTGCTCCATCCACGTGTGGGTTGTTTAAATAGACGGGGTGCGCTTGATGTTCCTGGGGGAGGACACAGGGCCACCATTTCCCGAAAAAATCAGACACATCGCCAAGCATCAAGAGGCACCAAAAGTGCGGTGCCAGGATTGCCAAATCTTCCCATGAGGTACTCCTTCCGCCTGAATTGTCCGCATCGACCCGACAGAGAAAGCTTGGGTGCATTTTGCTTGGCTGTTAGGACTTTAACTTTTTGCCAACTAATGGGTTTTCCACTAAACCACTAAAAGTTAAACTTTTAGCAGCAGAAAGCAACCGATAAAACGAAGGTCCGCATCGACTCGACAGGCGTGCCTCTTCCCCAGGATCCGGATGTCGCGCACTGGACGTGAGCCCCGGGTTTTTGCACTCTTCAAGCCCCGGCCGGGTTGAGAAAGAGCAAAGCAGCTCGGCTTCTGACCCTGAAAATTATCTTGAATATCTGCTAGTTTCCCCTGTTGGTTTCAAAGGGAATCTATAACTACTGGACATTTGTTGTTTTTTAATGACTGAAACAAATGAATGTAATGAGGTCATGACCCCTTTACTTTTGAGTAGTGACCCCAGTGTTGGGTCAGGAAACTTCAAGCAGGCGCTATCTAGGTTTCAAAAAAAAACTGGCCAGCCAAAATGATGTTGTACATAGGGTGGACTAAATATGACACTGATTCATCTGCGAATTTGATGTTCAGCGTACCCTTTGGCCGTTGACAACGTTTCTACCCTTTATGGCTAAAGTGTTTGTACATCCCATTAAACCGCTTTTTGGGATGTGAGTGGCTTGGGGTGTCGGACAGCCCAACTTCTTCCAACGAGCCAAAAAGGGCTTTTGTGGTAAAGCAACCCCTTTGGGTTCCAAGCACCAAAGTGAACCCATGGCAACATCCCTGGTCTCGTGAACCCCGAACCCGAACCACCCCCCCCCCCCCCCCGCGAAACCCCGGAGCCGCCCGAAGCTCGGTGTTTTTTTCGTCTCGAGCTGTCGCGGCGAGAGTGAGAGCGACATCGGGCGGCATGGAAGATGGGAAGGTGTGTTGATTTGTGCTCTGACAGATCCAAAGCCAGTATTCCTGCAGTTGGAACAGTTTATGGTAAACACCTGTCAAGCTGCCATTCGCAAGTTGCCTGGCTGACATGGAGTTGTGTGCAGTGTATAGTTGGCTTCCAAGTAAGGAGTCTTTGTGTTTGTACTGCTGTGTTAGTTGTGCATGATGAGATAGACTCTTAATCTGGGAAACTGCATGCTGACAGGTCCAATGTTCGAGGTCAATGCCAGGTCTGCCTTGTTGGAGGGTACCAAGCTGTTTGTGGTTTAGGGAAACCAAAAGGAGGCCAGGCATTTTTTGTGAGCCCTATTCAAGACACCTCTGTGGAAGTCAGAACCTCTTTGCTCTTTTGCAACGGACAAGCTTGCCCCTGGGGTAAATGTTGAGCTCGACGGTTTCATCTTGGAACAGCGGCATCTATGGAAGTTATATAAATTATACTCGTATCGTCTTGCACGCCACTTGCTACAGCCAAAGAGCTTTATTTCAACGGGCAAGCGGTTGACTTCACCGGCTTGGGAGATGGGGGTTGATCAATATCCCCGACCCCCAGTTGTGACCATGTCTAACTTGTCCCATGATAGAAATGTAACAAAATGTTTGGTGGGTGTGCTTCCCCAATGGTCATCACGTTGAGGGATCTTTGGATCAACCACCATTTAGCCGGGTTTTGTAGGTCTACCCAGTGGATCGATGCTTTTACCGGGTTTTGTAGGTGACCAAAGGCTACCTGGACCAAGACCCTCAAACTACCTGACTAAATTGGCCATTGGGGTAATAACCCCCCAGATGTGCGCGGGTCTCGTTTCAGTTCGGAATCGGAGACAGACCCATTTGCGGCGCGGCGGAATTGGGGCTTCTTGATTGCCTTGTGTGGATTGATTGGTCATGGTTATGACCTTTAGCAATAACCATGTGGGCTTGGAATGCTTGCTGGGATCATATTGTCCCTCGGTTGGTTTTCAGTGTAGGAGATGCTTTGGTAGTTGTTCTGCAACTTTCAGACGCGTTGAAAGAAAGCACGCGATCCACCCATTCTGCCAAAGGCACGACACCTGGTTGCTTGAGAGAGGTGTGAGACATTTGTTCAACTACACCCAATGTTTCCATCCACTGAGTTTGAATGGTCAGACTGCGGCATTCCCTACTGTGGATGGACGAAGTCCATTTCGCACCATCAAAGAAACCATGGTTGAGAGCATTGGTTGGAATTTACGTCGGGGAATCGAACATTTCAGAACCCAGGGTTTCTTGGTGCGAACGGATTTCGTTGAGTACGGTTCCAGTCACTCCACGAGAGGGGTCGATTGGATGGGAGGTACCCACAGACCATGGACAACGAGAGAGCCCTGGAGGCCGATCGCCGATCTCGGGGCCAAGAGCTGTGGGTTGAGATCTGTTTTTTTTTTTTTTTTTTTTTTTTTTTTTTTTTTTCGCAGACCTGGACACTTTAAACCTACCCGTTCCTGCTGTTCGCCCAAAAGAATGGCAAGGGGGTGCCAACCAGGTGATAGAATCGACAGATTCCTGATGTGGTGCGACTCCGATCTGACCAGCCGCTTGTTCACCTACCCAGAGAGAAGGGGAAGACCCAGGTCGGTGTAAGATCAACTCTTACACATGTACCTGGACCCCAAAGAACTAGCCATCAAAAAGGGGACACTTTCTGCCAGTTGTTTATGGTTGCAATAACCACTTCTTAGTCGGGTAGTTTGATGGTCCAGGTCTTCTAAATGTGGACCATGCATCAAAGATATCAGCTTTTGCTTGGGGGGAAGCTGCACTTGGAGCCAGGACACCTTTTGTCGCATCTTATTTGCTCGTCAGCTTGGGGTGAAGCGCATCCTGCTCGGGTAGTTGGTCCTGTGGTTCTTTGGTTTTTGACTGAATGCATGCTCAGTGTGGGTCGCAAGCAACAGCCTACGCTTCTCCCATGTCGGGTGAAGAGAAAGTATGGGCAACAGATGGGCTGACTACCAAACAAACCACAGGCCTGTGACATTTGTCTCGCCTTCCTATTCCTATGTAAGCCTTTGTAACCATCTTCGAGCCAGAAGTTAATGGGTGTTGAGCCTGCTCAGTTGAGAATACATCCGCCCAAGCATCCCCTTTCCCCTGGTAAAGACCAATGTGATGTCATGGGAGTTTGGGAAACCGCTGACCTACGAGTTGGCGACCAGTGATGAAGGCGAGAAGCTGAGCTTGAATGTGAGCGCTGTTTCAATCACGCTTGGCAAGCATTGTCCTTCATGATGGGATAAGTTTGAATGTCATGGTTCATTGGGATTTTGTTGAATTCTGAGTTGGCCAATATTCTACAGGTGCTCATCCCGAGCAAATAATCGAAAGCCAGGTTAAAATCGTACTCTAGGCCTGATTCCTGGAACTATGACAGCTGTGGAGTATGGGGAGCTCTGTACTAGAAATATTGAAGGCAAGAGAAGCTGTAAAAGAGTCGACTCGTCATCCGTGAGGTCAAGCTTGGATATAACCTCTTGACCTACTTCCATTTGGTTAAGAATATTTTGTATTCTCCGCTGCTGGTTTTAAAGGGAATTTATCA